ACAAGCACCCTGAAATCTGTGTTGCTGCTGTGCTCTCTGATCCTGTTACTGTCCTTTCTTATGAGGACCTTGTTGCTACTGCTGTGAACCCATGCCCTGCTGTTTGGGTCCTCTGGGTCTTGAAAATGACCTCTTGCCCTTTCTCTTGTCTCCGGACTGTCTCAGTTTAGAACTTCCTTCCTTACTCTTCTGGAACATGGCGGTCTTAGTCTCCTATGAAATGGCAGCATCGGCAACCTCCCGTACTGAGTGGAATCGTCGAGACACAAGGTAGCGACGTAAGATTGGGTGGAGTCCCATCAAAAAAATCTGAGCCTGACACTCCCATGTGTGCCACATGCCTGTAAATCTAAGTAGACCCATGAACTTGCTTTCATAATCAGCTACTGACATGTCTCCTTGCTCCAATCGGGCTAGTTCTAACTCTTTCCTGGCCTTTGGCTCTAATGATACATACTACTCATCAAAGAAGTAGGTGAAATCCTCCCAAGTAAGTATCATTCGCTGCTCTAGTATGAATTAAAGTCTATACCACCCTCCGGTGTCTCCCTTGAGGCTGAAAGCTGCTAACCTCTACTTCTGGACTGAGTCGATGTTAAGTATATCTAGGATGTTCCCCATATCTTCCTTCCACTTGTGGGTTGCAAGTTAATCTGATATGCCATGAAATTCTGGTGCCCTCAGCTTCTGATATCTCTCCACCAAACAAAGCTAAGTCTCCTACTCTGCCGCTCTGTCGACCGCTGGTGGTGGTGTGACTTATGGTGATGTCTCTACAATAGGCTCAGTTGGTATGACTGGTGATGGAACTACATGAGGTGGTATTGCTGGAGAAACCTAATTTGCCACTCGCTCCTCGAGCGCTGTCAATCTGGCTGTAATCGGCGCTATGAGGTTGATCAAATACTGTGGAGCCCAGATCCCTGAGTACGAGATCTACTATGACCACGTCCTCATCCCGACATCTATAAGTTCAGGAGAAGAGCTTATTAAACACGGTAAATGAGATCTCAAGCATAAATACTCATAACATATAGCAATAGGAAAACATAACACATAGTATCATCGAGAATACTCTATAATTAAAGTAAGTTAATCATAAAAAAATTTCTCAAAATTTTTGAGCTATACGCATAACGGCCTTACTCAATCTAGGAATTCCTAGCGAACTCTATACATTAGCCCTAAGGAAACTCTATCCTAGCTCCATGACTCGACATAGGATATCCTAAGAATGCTGGAACTAGAGCTCTGATATCAACTATGATGCCCTTGGTTTCACACATGGCTACAGTCTAAGGTGAACTCAAAGATGTCAAACCTACCATGCACCCAACAATGTGTAACAACATGTTTCACCATCACAGTAATATCTCTCTAGTAGAATTAAATACAAGAGGTGAGGGTACAAGCATATATAGTAAAGATGACAATACAAGGAACACAATATAGAGAAAAGATTCAATAACGTTTATAATTATGTTCCAACAAAAGAAAAGAAGTGCATCTAATAAACCGAAATACAGATAATGAATCTCTAATACGAAAGAGTCAACCGAAAAGTATATAGGCACTCAACCTCCAAAAGAAATACAACTCTAAAGACTAAAAACAATAAAATATCCACTATGGAGCGCCTACTAACTATCTACTAATAAATGACGGCGAACTATGCTGAGTCTCCGTCAACCTACGACTCTCCGAACCCCTGACTTGTTGCTTGAAAAAGATGGACACAACGAGCATCAAAGCGCTAGCGAGAATATCTCCATCGACCCCAAGGGGGTAAGGGGTTAGGTGTATAAAAAATACAAGTTATAGTATATATAGATATATAAATCCTACATCCTGAACTAAGAGGAATTAATATTTAGAAACCAACAACACGAGAATGAGTACGTCGAGTGAAATAATCCAAATAAGGAAACCCTCATATATATACCATATATCTCAATTGTGGATTACTAAATATCAACTCCAAAATCCTATGAATAAAATAATTAACAAAGAACAATACATTACCAAGCCTCATCCATAACAAATCGTATCATAACAACTCACATTTTTCTCGGGTAGTTGGCATGGGAACAAAATAAATATTCGGTAAAAGATCTCGTCTAGGATACATAGTAAAGACACCATAGCCTTATACTCTACCCTCTGGGTAGGTAACACGGGAGCAAATTTACAATCTTGTATGATCCTCTACAAAGAAAATGGTGTGGAGTGTAGGCGCTCATAATATCCTGTGGTTCATTGCAATATTTTACGGTTCACTACCTTACTCGAACACAGTTTGGAGTATAGGCATATCAGCCTAATCTGGAACACAATGATGCATAACGGAGTATAGTCCATTGCGGTCTCATTGCAGTACACCAACTAACGCACTCCGAGTGTAGTCAACCACAGTCTCGTTATGGTTCACAAACTAACCCCACTCAAGCATCCAAAACTATTGTAAAACGAAACATATGTCACTCTCTATCATGACTAACTCAAAATTTTAGACTATGTGTATCAATAGGCTCGTGCATGCTCAAATCCAGCAGTGTCCTCTCACGATCTCGCACGTGTGTCGACGTATGACTCGCACTTTGTGTTTGCGATCAAAAGCACATGGTAAATTAACTTATGCAAAACAGCTCAAATTGGTTGGTCGACGGCGACAAACATGCACACACAGACAACTTCGGTCGGTCGACCGATTACCTAGGTCGGTCGACCGACAAGAGAAAAATCTCCAGTTTCCTGCAAACACATCAGTCGACCAATTTCTTTGATCAGTCGACCAATGCTGGTGACAAAACACAATTCAGGGTTTTTCTCTATCATGAACAAAAATCGAAATTTCTCAAAAAGAACTCATGTATAAAACTTGATTTAGTGTAATTAGGGTTTACTTTACTACATGAAAACACAATTATAAAGATTTGGGGAAATCTAAAAAACCTAACATGTTTATGTTTGAAAATTCATCATGAAAACAAGTAACTTTAACAAAATCTCATATTAGATCTATTTCAAATCTTAAACCCAAATCAAAGAAATTTGTTTCATAACTTTTTAAATCAGAAAGATTAAATCTTTGAGTCATATAGATAAAAGAGGTGATCTTTAAACATAAAATAGGTTTTAAAAATCTAATAAAACAAAGAAAATGGGGAAGGGATTGGAGGAGATGAAACTCGCCTCAAAAATTTCGTGCTAAACTCCCACACACGCAAGGAACTCAATCCTCCCACACCGAAGCCGTCGATCTCGCCCTCCTCTTGGTCTTTTTGCTTCTCAAAGCTTCATGTGTGTGTGTGTGTGTGTGTGTGTGTGTGAGTGTGTGTGTGTGTGTGATCAAACAGGCCCAAACCGATCCGACCCGAAACCCAAAACCTGTGCACCCATTAGGGTTAGGCTAATTAGGTAATTAGTCTAATTGCAATATTTACCTATGGTTTTAGGGGTTTTTACAATTGGGACTGGATTTAGGGTTAGGATTAGCTAATAAAGTCATTAGATTTAAGGTTATAGTGTTGATTATGGTTAGGATGGATTAAATACAATTAATAAAAAATTTGAATAAACAATAGATCAACAGTTAGGAATTTGCCAAAATCTTAAATTGTTAAAAGCTATTATCTTTTTTCCACATATATGAGCTGAAAATTATCCAGATAGCTTTGTG